ATCCCGCTCGCCTTGAAACTTTAGTTTCAATTTGATTCTGGAGAAGCATTGATCTTGAAAGGCGATTGTAGATTTTACTTGAACTTCTCCGCCCGCCCTGGGGTGGTGTGACATGTATGAACTCTTAATCTACTGTACATTAACTTTACTCCACTTGAGTATGGGTACGGACATTCGTATAACTAAACTAAATTATAAACAACGATGAATTTTCCTTAAGATTAAATTATGTTTCAATGTGCGTCTAGAACTATCGCTAGGGCTGATTTTATTCGGTGGTCGGTCTTGAGCTGGAGGCGCGATATGATTTGGAGTGACGTTTGCTTCATTATTGTACCGGCGGAGTTTTCATGTCGCTCGTTTGCTCGTCGCGTCGGAGCTCAGAGTCTTCGCTTGCTGGGTCGCAGGTTTCGATAGGAAGTACGCACAACTTCACTATCGGGCGCTTGAATTCAGATTGTGCGGTTCGCACAGACACGACGCGAACTAAACCGTCAGGACCTTTAAAGATCTTTGTAACTCTACCCAATTCCCATTTACAGGGAGGTAGTAGCGCGTTTCTTAAGAGTACCATTGTGCCGACCTTGATTGATTCGCGTTCCGTTCGCCACTTTCCTCGCTGTTGTAACGTATTAATATAGTCGGACTGCCAAAGTCGCCAAAATCTCTCCGCGATCTGACGCACGAGCTGCCATCGAGACAACCGATTTTCTGCGATTGCGAGAACAGACGGCTCGGGATTGACGGTGATCGCGGAACCGATGAGCAGATGACCCGGAGTGAGGGGGGCGAAATCGTCAATTGTGTCGGTCAGAGGACCGATTGGTCGCGAATTTAAGCAAGCTTCTATCCGACATAAGAGCGTCGACAGCTCTTCGAATGTAAGCGTGTGTGCTCCGAGAACGCGGCGCAAATGATATTTTACGCTTCGCACTCCGGCTTCCCAAAGCCCCCCGAAATGCGGAGCATGAGGGGGGATGAACTCCCATTTGATTTTATCGGCGGCCGTTTGGTTAAGGAAGTCTGGATTTCTTATCGCGTGATTATATGCTTGCTGCAGCTCCCGGTCGGCTCCGGTAAAAGTAGTGCCATTATCGGAATAGACTACGGACGGCAATCCACGACGGGCGCAGAATCGCGAAAACGCGTCTAGGAATGAGGAGGTGGAGTAGCTCGTAACCAACTCAAGATGTATTGCTCGAGAGGCGAGGCAGACGAATAATGATATGTAACCTTTATGTGACTTGTGCCCTCGGCCGGAGGAAGTCCGAATGGCGATTGGCCCGGCGTAATCAAGGCCGCAATGGGAAAATGCCCGAGGGGGAGCCGAGACTCGTGCGGCCGGCAACTGTCCCATTAACTGCTCAGGTACCGCAGCTCTCTCCCGGGTGCATGTAGCGCACTGAAAAATGATACGTTTAACTATCTGTCGGGCTCGGAGTATCCAGTACTCTTGGCGTAGCGCAGCTAACGTTAGTTGCAGACCCGCGTGACAGTGTTTTAAATGCGTGTATCGAACGATTAAATCCACGACGAGATGCGCGCCCAGTAGCGCGGGATGTTTTTTCTCATAGGCTACGGGAGCGTGCAGTAGCCGCCCGCCGACGCGAATGACTGAGTCGCTGTCGAGGAACGGACTTAGGGAGCAGATTTCGCTCTTAGCCGCGGGAGCTTGACCGAGTTTTAATTTGGCTATTTCAAGGGGGAAACGATCGGCTTGGATTTGCTGAATCCAGAATCTTTGAGCATGCGTGATTTCGATTGACGTGAGAGCTTTCGAGCGCGCTGGGTAGATATTGAACTGCTTATCGTGTTTGCGGCAATTGTTAACAAATCGTTGTATATAAGCGGTCACTCGTAAGAGTTTTGTCCAGCTGGAATAACGTGAAGCTAACTCCCATGTTTCGTTCAATTTTGCACAATGTGAAGTGGTTGGTTTTGCCTCGTCGCTAACATGCGTCATGGGTTCTGGACTTTGAGAGGGCCATTCGTCGGGATTTAAGTGTAACCAGGAAGGTCCTTGCCACCACAATCCAAAGGATGGCAACTCGTGTCCGAGCAGTCCGCGGGAGGCGCAGTCCGCGGGGTTTTCGTGCGTCGATACGTATCGCCATTGTGCGTTTTGAGCTCGAGTTTGAATCTCCGCGACTCGATTGGAAACGAATGTTTTCCATCTAGACGGGTGAGATTGAATCCATGCCAGAGCAACAGTCGAATCTGTCCAGCAGTAGGATTTCACTGACGAAATGTGTAAGGATTCTTGAATAAACTCCAAGATGCGTGTGAGCAGCGTGGCTGCGGATAATTCGAGTCTCGGGACGCTGACAGTTTTGAGAGGCGCTACCTTTGATTTGGCTATAAGTAGCCGGACAGTAATTTCACCAGCGATCGACACCACTCGCGAATAGACGACGGCAGCGTATGCTACTGTTGATGCGTCGGCGAATCCGTGAAGTTGAACTTCTGCCGTATCCGCGCCGCGACCGGTCCATCGATCGATTTGTAACCCATTCAAATGTGAAAGATTTCGGTAAATGTCTTCCCATTTATTCAGCGCAAGTACAGGAACAGTGTCGTCCCATTGAATTTGAAGTCGCCACAATGATTGCATGAATATTTTTGCGGTTATCGTCACGGGAGTGACCCAACCGAGTGGGTCAAATAGTTTTGCGATTGCGGAGAGAATTGTACGCTTCGTGCGTGGCGTAGCTTCGAGCGGGGATACGCGGAATTGAAACGAATCGAGCGCGGGGGCCCAAGAAATACCGAGAATGTTGAGATTGTCGTCGAGCTTGAGTTCTCGATTACAAGCGAGGCCGTGATCTTCTTCGGAGATGTCTGCGAGCAGGCTCGATCGGTTACTCGCCCACTTGCGAAGGGTGAATCCGCCTTTGGCGAGAAGGGCGCACACCTGTTCACGCGAGCGACGCAACAGAGGAACATCCTCGGCTCCGAAAAGGACGTCATCGACGTAAACGTCAGATTGCAAAATTTGAGCAGCGAGTGGGAACGAACCGCCTTCATCGCAAATTAGTTGTTTTAACACGCGAAGCGCGAGGAACGGAGCAGCTGTGGTTCCGTATGTTACGGTTAAAAGTTGATACTCCTGCAATTCGTCCGAATCGTTACCCCATAAAATTCGTTGGTAATCGCGGTCGCGTGAATCGATCCATATTTGTCGATACATTTTCGCGACGTCTGCGGTATACACGTATTTGTGCTGTCGCCATCGCAATAACACGGCCGTTAGTTCGTTTTGCAATTTTGGACCCGCGAGCTAGTGAGAATTAAGGGAGGTGTTATTGGTGGTAAGGCTCGAGGCGTTAAACACAACGCGTACTCTGGTGGTCGCGCTTGTCTCGCGAATAACTGCGTGATGGGGGATGTAGGCGATCTGACCGTCCGCGGACGTTGGAGACGAAACCGCTTGCATGTGCTTCAACTGTTCGTATTCGTGAAGAAATTCAGCGTACTCTAATTTTAACTCGGAGTTTATGCTTAATCGACGCTGTAATGCGGCGAGCTTTCTTACTGCGATTGCGCGCGATTCGCCAATCTCGATCGGAGGCCCTGTCTTAAAGGGCAAGCGGACAATGTATCTCCCGTCGGGAGCGCGCGAATGAGTGGCTTGAAAGTGATCTTCCGCTCGTTGATCGTCTGGCGAAAGAATTCTGCGCGGTGGGATCTCCTCTATCTCCCAAAATTTTTTGAGTGCGTCTTCGAGTGCACAGTGAAAGGCACGAATATGCTGCGCGGGGGCGGTCTGTGCGGGCATCGGCCCGGAAATTATCCATCCGAGGTGGGAGTTTTGCGCGATCGGCTGATTGGTCGATCCCTTCCGTACACCGCTCAAAATCACACAGCCGTAAAGGTCGGCTCCGATGATGAGTTCGATTGGCTCGGATCCGGTAGGGTTGTCGTCGGCATGTTGCAAATTTTGTAAATGTGCCCAGGTCGAGAGACCGGTCAACCGTGGAGGATTGTATTTAGTGAGCGATGGCATAATAAAGGCTACCGTCGAGAACGTCGGACTCAATCGGTCGCGAGAATGGAATTTTATGTCTGTGGCATAGCGACACGTACCGACACTCGAACCCCCGATCGCGGAGATCGTAGTGAACGTTCGTCTCCGAGGCAGTCTCAAAATCTGTGTAATTTTGTGAGTGACAAATGTCACCTCCGAACCTTGGTCCAGGAGCGCCCTGACGACTAGTTCGCGCCCCGTCGGCGACTTGAGTATCACGCGCGCGGTAGCGAGCAATACGGGGGACGGAACGGCGCTCGCGGAGACGGCTGACATCGCGACAACAGAGGACGGCGCTTCGCTGCCCGTTTCTGGAGTCGACTCTTCGTTGACGGCTTGACTCACGCTTGAGACGTGGCTTGCGCTATTTATTGGAGAACCAGAGTCAATGTGAAGGAGAGAATGATGCCGCTTCTGACACACCCGACATGAGAATTTGCTTGGGCAATCCGAAGCAGAATGCTTCGTACCGAGGCAATTAAAACAACGATTTAACCGTTTGATATATTCTCGACGTTGGCTCTGGTTCTTTTTTAGAAATTGGTCGCATTGATACAACGCGTGGGATTCTTTGCAGAGAACACAGCGCTTGTAATTCTCGGTAGCGGTCGCATTGTTTGATCGCACTTGACGGTGCGCTTTCAGAGGCGCGGGATCTAATTCTTCGAGAGCGAGTGCGCGTGATGAAATGAACTCTTTCAAGGCTTCGTAATTCGGAGGATTATCGTCACTACAACATTTTAACTTCCATGCGCGACGGGTGGACGCGTCGAGTTTTAAAGTTACGAAATAATTCAATATATCACTCAATAGCTCCGCGTCTGATCGACCCAACGATTTTAATGCGGCGACAGATTTACTGGCCCTATCCCGCAAAGCGTGTAATTCGACGGCACTCTCTCGCGACATAGCTGGCAAGTTATATAGGGCGGCGACATGAACGTCAATTAGTTTACGTTTATTTTCAAATCGAGCTTTAAGAGCGGACCACGCGACCGTAAAATTGTCGGCTGTAATTGCAAGACTGGAAATGGTATCTAACGCGGATCCAGCTAAACTGGATGCGAGAAAATGCATTCGAGTACAATTTGAAAGATCCTTATTTTCAATGATAAGCGCGGTAAATCTGTCTCTGAAACTTTCCCATTCGTGAAAGCCTCCCGTGAACGGCGGTAATTTAATCGGCGGTAAATGCTGGAGTGATAACGCGGATGTTTCGTTTCGCGGAATCGACTGATTAAGCGCAGTTGAATGGTGCGGACTCACGGGTGGCTCGATTTCCTCGAGCCATTCGTTCATCAGATCCAGCGTTGCTTGGTAGATTTCCTCGTGGTTTTTCAGCTGATCTTCCTGGAAGTACTCGAATTGGGCCCTGTCCTTTTGTGGGACGAGGCTCAGCAAAACGGCGTGTCCGTGAAGGCAGTGGTTCCACGTTTCCTTCACCGAGGCTATTCTGGAGCGGACTTTAGCTGCGGTGTAATTGTTGCGTCCAACCTTCTTAAAGTTGTCGGCTGAACGCGATAACACTCGCAGGAGCTCAGTCTGTTTGATGAATTGTTCACTCATTTCACTGCTTTTCGCGTTCTGGAGTAACGGACAAATGCACAGCGAATTCGAGGGCTTCACTTAACCCTTCGGTGGTTGCTTGACCTGATAACGTATTCACCGAGTGATCAATTGCTTGGGGTGATTTGCACGACGTGTCTCCGCACACGATGTTACGCGCACGACTTGCGCGTTACTATTACTGGATTTTCTTGCTCTTGTCACTTGTTCTCTTGTCTGTAACTGTTTATCTAGTCCGTAACACACAACTTCGATCCGGCTCGAAGGACCAGAAAATGTTTGTTTTACAAGTGCATTCTCATTTTATTTATTCGCCGGTACTGCGCGCCGATCGGCACGCCGAAGTTTGTGCGTC